GCAAGGTTATGAGGAGATGCCAGAACAAGATGTTCAGAGCTAGCCCTTGTAGTATGCAGAAAGCAGGAATGGGCTTGGCACTGGGACTGTCAAAAGGAAATTCTAGTGGATAAACTGTGTGATCTGAGCAAGGCCACTGAATAAGATGTGGCCCTACAAGGCAATGTTCAGGATCCCTGAAAATGCAAACCCATTGCCTGATCTGCACACACTTATTTAGGCCTCTTAGCATGAATATTGAAAATGTGGGATTATCAATATTGGCAGTAGGAGGAAATCCAGTGAAGGAGAGTGTGTGTAACTGGATTCAGGCATGGAAGGGTGGGCATTACATTGGTAAGCAAAGTTCTATGGACCTCATCATACAAAGCTTGTAAATGTTATTTCCATCAGATGCATGATTGGAAGAATAAGAATGACACAGGCATATTGGGATTTGAGGGAACTTAACTGAACTATGAAAATATATGTAGGAGCTATATAATAGATGGTATTAGCAGAAGTGATTCAAGGTAGTTCTCCAGGAAAAGACTGTAAGCAGTCTGCATCCTGAGTTAAGCTTGGGGAGCAGCAGTGACACAGATTTAGTTCATGTGGAATTCTGCAGAGATAGCCAGTGGAGGATCTATGTGATCAGATCTAGGCAGACAGAATCAAGGTGGCTATGGTAGGAAGGGTTCTGGGGAGCTCACCTTGAAAAGACCATGTGTGAGTAGCATACATCTCATGCTACTCCTTTAAAGTGAATATGCCACAGTTGACCTTGATTCTTGGGAGGGTGGTGCTCACCAGAGAAAGCAAGAGTATAAACTTACTTGTCCATTACTAAAGGAACTTAGGTCAGCAATCAAGGAAAGGACCTAGAGCAAGAATGTATGTAGACACAATGGAGAAACTCTACTTCCTTCCTTGATCACTGAGGCTAACTTGGTATCCTTTCTTTTATAACCAAGAATGACCTATGCAATGTGTCACAACTCACAGTGCCTGGTCACTCAAAGATCAGTTATTAATCAAGAAAATGCTCTATTTGCAATCCTATAGGCCAATTACAAAAAGATGTTTTCTCAATGAAGATTTCCCTCTGATGACTTTAGATTGTGTCAAGATAAGAAACAACAAAACCCAACAACAAAAGAAAACAAAAATCTCATTCAACATAGCCAGGCTTCACTTTTCTCAAATGACTCCAGATTTTGTCAGGCTAACAGCAGCAACAGCAAAATTAACCAACACAGGTAGGTCCATATCATGCTGGACAAAGAAATTCACAGCATGGTCCTCATGGTACTGAATTTGCAGAAAGAAAATCCAGTATTGTAGGGTAACAGATCTTTGCATCGTGGTTTGAGATAATGCACTTCAGAGATAAAGTTCCCGCAAGGGGGTTAAAAAGTGTCCTGTGTGAAGATGTAAAAGAGAAGTCCATGCTTCAGTGTGTATCCAGGATGTTGAGGATGCAAGAAACATGAGGTACCTGTTATGGAAAGTTGCAAGTGTGTAGTACCGACAGCTCAAGAAAGAGACTGGTTAATTCAGCAAACTGACAGAAGACCAGGGTGCCTAAAAGTCCTTTGAAGTCAAAATGATTGCCTTATACTACCAGATGACAGGTACGGAGCTGCTGGATTCAGGGTTTACCCTCATAGGTTTAGGTCTCTTTCTGTCACCTCTTCCCTTGCTTTGACCCCTTTCCTCCCCTTTATTTTAGTAATATTTACTCTGTATCATTTTATGTTAGCAGTATGTGAATCTATTTATGATTGTCCAAGGTCTTGCAGTTGAAAAGTGACCTGGTTCTGGGTATTATAAATAAAGCTGCAATGAATGTAGTTGAGGAAGTGTCCTTTTGTTATAATTGAGCATCATTTGCGTTTATTCCCAAGAGCAGTACAGGTGGGTCTTGTGGTAGGTTGATTCCCAGTTTTCTGAGAAACTTCCACACTGACTTCTAAAGTGGCTGTACAATTTTGCACTACCACCAATAATGGAGGAGTGTTCCCCTTACTCCACATACTCCCCAGAATGAACTACCATTGTGTTGTTGATCTTAGTCATCCTGACCAGTATAAGATGGTATCTCAGAGTCATTTTGGTTTGGATTTCCCTAATGGCTAATGGTGTTGAACATCTCCTTAAGTGTTTCTCAACCATTTGAGATTCTTTGTTAAGAAATCTCTGTTTAGATACGTACACCTTTTAAAATTGGAGTATTTGTTGATGTCTAGTTTTTTGGGTTCTTTATATATTTTTGAAATCAGCCCTCTGTCGCATGTGGGCTATTGATGTATTTTGTCCTACAGAAACTTCAATTTCATGAGGTCTCATATTTTAATTGTCAGTCTTAGTGTCTGTGGTATTGGTGTTCTGTTTAGGAAGTTGTTTCCTGTGCCAATGCATTCGAGATTATTTCCCAATTTCTTATCTATCAGGTTCAGAGTATCTGTATTTTTGTTGAGGTCTTTGATACAGTTGGACTTGAGTTTTGTGCAGGGTGATAGATATGAATATATTTGCATTCTTCTACGTGCTGACATCCAGTTAGACCAGCACCATTGTTGAAGATGTATTCTTTTTTCCGTTGTCCCTCAACTGAGGAATAGATAAAGGAAATGTGGCATATTTACACAATGGAGTATTACTCAGCTATTAAAAACAAGGACACCATGAAGTTTGAAATTGGGGTAAATGGATGGAACTAGAAAAAATCATCCTGAGAAAGGTAACCTAGACTGAGAAAGACAACATGGTACATACTCACTCATAAGTGGATATTAGCTGTAAAATATAGGGAACTATGCTACAATCCACATACCCAGAGAGACTAGGTAACAAGAAGTGTTTATTGGGGGGACACCCAGACCTCCATGGCAAGGAGAACTAGAAGAGATTTTGTGAGTGAACTGAGAGCAGGTGGGTATGGAAACGTGAATCATCAGGTTGTGGGGCATAGAGGGGAGGGTACTGAAAGTGACTACTGGAAAGAGGACCATCTTGGGGGTCAGGTAAAACCTGGTACAAGTAAATCTCCCTGGAATATATAAGGGAGACCCTAGCTTAGACTCCAAGCAATAGCAGATACTTATACTCAAATGGCAATATCCTGCAATCTGATAGGTGCCTAGCTCAATTATCAGAGAGGTGTCATCCAGTAACTGATGGAAACAGATGCAGAACCACAGCCAAACATTATGTGGAGTTCATGGAATGCTGCATAAGAGAGAAGAGGAGGAGAAAGGATTATAGCAGCCAGAGGGGCTAAGGACACTACAAGAAAATCCACATAATCAACTAACCTGGGCTCATAGGGGTTCATAGAGACTGAACCCATAACCAGGGAGCCTACTTGGGACTGACCTAGGCATTCTACATATATGTAGAGTTGTGTAGTTTGGTCCTTTTGTGGGACTCCTAACAGTGGGAGCAGGGGCTGTCTCTGATACTTTTACAGGCTTTTGGTGCTCCACTCCTCATATTGGGTTGTCTTATCCAGTCGTAATTCATGTGGAGGTTCTTAGTCTTACTGCAACTTGATGTGCCATGTTTTGATACTTATGGGAAACCTGGCCTTTCTTAAACAGATATTGAGAAGGAGTGGATTGGGGGATGGGGACAAAGAGTATATGGAGGAAAGGACTGGGAGGATAAAAGGGAGGGAAACTTCAGCAGGGATATAAAATAAATACATCCATTAAAAAACAAAAGAAGGAAAAAAGGAAAAAACTGCCTTGAGTCACAAAAGAGAATTTGGACTAATCAATAATCTTGTGATTATTAAAGGCTAGGGATATTTATAGATGTGGAATAAATTTCTTTTTCACTATTTAATGACCTTAATTCTATGGGGACAAAGGACTAAAAGTAGCAAGTTTTGTGTTAGTGGGATTGGTCAGTAGGTAATTATGTTTGCCATCAAAATAATATGAGTTTGAATGCATTGATGTAGATGGTAAAACAAAAAAATCAAATTCGCATAAAATGTCCTCTGATCTCTATCCCACTTTTTTTTTGATCAGAGCACACTGGAAATATCTGGTCATTTGTGATTTTCACAAACATAAAGATAAGAGATTCCAACTGCATAGCCTCAATGTAACATGAAAAATAAAAGACCCAGAGACTGATATTGGGGTCTAAGTTTCAAACTGAAGATCAGAAAAGCAAAGAAGCTGGCCTCTAGCTCTTACCTCTACTTCAGGCTGAAAGGGCTGATCCATGAGCTCTTCACCAAGCCTCAGACTGCTGTCTCTCCTCAGCATGGCTGGAAGGAATCCTGAGACACAGTCTACTGAAGACCCAGCTCCTATATTTTATACTTCTCTAGTACTGGGATTAAAGGTGTGTGATACCAAGTGCTGAGATCATCATTGTGTGGGCTGTTTCTCTTAGCACTGGATCAATTTCATGTAGTCAGTGTGGCCTTGAACTATCAGAGATTCATCTGTTAATTCTGAGTCCTGGGATTAGGTGTGTGCCTTGCTTCTATGGCTTGTGACTGACTTTGCTTTCTAAATCTTCTGGGAAGCTTTAATAAATCATAAATAATATATCACTACACCTCACCATTCCATGAAAACAGCACACAGTATCTGCAGGGACAGCACTGTGTAGTCCAGCTCTGTCATCAGTAGACAAACTTACCTGTCATCACACAAAAAATGTTTGCTTTTGTATGTTGAGTTGTCAGCTTCCTTATAAAATGATTTCACATGGTATTGGTTGTGTTTATTTTTGCAACATATATTTCACATGCATTTTTGCATGTTACTGCTTGTTGGCAATGTCTGAACCTTGATCATGACCTTAGAATTTAGTATGTGAAAACATTTAAAGAAAGGAACACCTTAGACAGATAGAGGAAGAATTAATTTAGACACATCCAGAGAACCAAGTTGATGCTTTATTTAGAACAAATTGATGACTATAGGAGTTTTATGTATGAATACACAGTTTCTTCAAGGAACATTCTGACAGATGTTGCAAATGAAGGAGTCCTCACTTTAGACCTCTTGGTTGGCCATTATGGAAGCACACTTGGCCTTTGCCTGACCCTGTTGTTTCAAAGAACTTATCTCAGAGAGAAAGATGATTACACCCAAGAGTGACATGGTGGCTGTCAGGACCCCTAATGGTAGCACAATAGTATAGTGTTTGTATATCAAGGCTTCTGTTTTAACCGGAAAGTCAGGTGGAAAGCCAAGTGTGGTTTGGCCATAATGATCTACAAAGTAGTTCCAGCTCACGGAAACAAATGTGAAGAGGCTGCTGACACTCAAACCTAAGGCAGAGACCTTGTAGCAAATTTTCTCCATCTCAACAACTGGGTTTTTCATGCAGCTGATCTTAATGGCCATCGCACTGAAAACCATTACTACAGGCTTCATCAAAATGGACCATACTAACAGATTCTCTGCATACTGAAGTTCAGGTAAAATGGTCCAGGTGGAATCGATAGGGGTGTGCACCAGCATCTTGATTTCACTCCCTGAGACATTAAACTCTTGAGGGTAATGAACTTCCCAGAGTCCAAAGGACACAAACTGTACAACTTTGTCGTTGAATTCCCATAGGCGCCAGCATTGGCAGCTTGCAAGGGCTACTTCAAATACGAAGGCTGTTAGGCAACTAAGGAGGCCGCTCAGTTTGAAGATGCACCCATTTGCATTGGGAAATCTGAAGATGAGATTAAACATGTATATAGTTAATCCAAGAACACAAGGGAAGGTTGGAAAACAAAATGAGTCATGGTTTACACAGCATTAACTTCTCATACCTTGTCTCTGCTATCACATAGCAGTAATTAAGTAGTCTATCTATGTGTTAGGTTCAACATATTACAGGTAAGAGTTTAAGAATCCTTGAATTCTATGACTATAGCAGAAGTTCCCTCTAAAGAGGTTTTGGTTAGCAATTTCACTGTATCTGTCAAATGCTGAAATGTATGTACTTGTTAGCTAACCATTTTAATTATTGGAATTAATAGTGGAAAAAGAAGTTTGCAATATCATATGTAAGGTGATGCTTATTTCAGGTGTGTTTGCAATAATAAATATGATAAGTATGTGAAATGAGAGTTATAAGTAGAATAATACTCAAATATAGTTTATATATTATGGTAGTGGACTATTATATGGCAATTTTAAACTTATATCTGCTGAAAGGACAAACAAAATGAAAAATGATCTACTTGATATATCATTTCAAGTATAAATTCAATATGTGAAGCATGTATATTTGTATGTATGTACACACACACACACACACACACACACACACACACACACACAGGTAGATAAAAGATGCACCACAAAAGGAACTGTAGGTAGAACGAGCTAGAAGTGTATAATGTATTTCATATTTGTAGATTTTTTTGAAATGTGAAGATTTTTAAAGAAAAATTATACATATTTTGCAATTAAAGACATAGTGAGAATGACTTTCCAAATATATAGATATCTGGGCTAAGGCTATACCTCAGTGGAATTGTAATTGCTGAACATGTAGGAGACTCTGAATCAAGTCCTCAATGACAAAAATCAAAATCTACATGTAAAACACGAGGTCTTGTGTATATTTCCCTCATTGACCCATACCTTACTCAAATGTGGATTTTTTGATTGTTGTATGTAAAGTATCTTGACTATCTGTGAACAACTATATTCTCTACCACAAAACTATGACTCCACAATTTCTGTGAAGCAATTGTGTGAAGTAAATGTGAAGCAGCACATTTAAATCACTTCTCATTTCAAATCTTTGGATGTGGTGTTAATGCTCATGAAGAACTATGCCTTGAGGGATTCCACTGAGTACTTAAGAAAGGAAGCAGGAAAAATTTTGTAGCCTCCAACATGTGGAGAATGTCATTGTCACTGCACATGCAGAAGTTTTCAGGGGTCTGCAAACAGGATCACCTTGTTGATATTCCTTCCTATAGCTAACCACTGCTCCACAGTCCCTATGGAATATGCATTTTATCTTAGACAAGACAGTTACTGTACTACTTGGGAAGTTATATCAGCATAATAGGTTTTCAGTTGATGGTGAGTTGCCTCATACCTTGCCCACACCCTCTCTGTCATGGCAGTTTGGAGGCAGTGGTCTGAAGGAGCAGTGCCTTTTGACACACAAGCGGAATTAGGGTGGAGAATGCTGTGGCAGAGGAATGAGCTAGCCTGGCAGGATCTGGCTCTGTCCTTGTCTGAATCCCATGGAGGAGATGTATGTGTTTGATAAAGATCCAATTTGACACCCTCCATATAACTAATTTTTACTTCTTACCTTTGCATAGCATGGTTGGTGGGGAGATCCATTTGAAAGATGCCAAGATCATAAATATCTTCTAAATAACAGGAAGTGTTGACCAGACAGGGAGTCACATAATAGATGAATCACCTTCAGCATAAAAGTTCTATTAGACACATATTTCTTTCCATTTTTATTTGAATTAGAAACAAGATTGTTTTACATGTCACTCTCATTTCCCTCTCCCTCCTCTCCTCCCCTACCACACCCCCAACTAAAACCCTAACTATCACATAATCTTTCTGCTCCCCAGGGAGGGTGAGGCCTTCCATAGGGTGTCATCAGAGTCTATCATATCCTTTGAGATAGGGCTTAGGCTCACCCTCATGTGTCTTGGCTCAGGGAGCATTCCTCTATGTGGGATGGGCTCCCAAAGTCCACACCTATGCTAGGTATAAGTACTGATCTACTACAGGAGGCCCCATGGATTTCCGAGGTCTCCTCACTGACACCCATGTTCATGGGATCCCCCATGCTGGTTTCCCAGCTATCAGTCTGGGGACCAAGAGCTCCCCATTGTTCAGGTCAGCTGTTTCTGTGGGTTTCACCAGCTTTGTATGGACCCCTTTGCTCATCACTCATCCTTCTCTGCAACTGGATTCCAGTTCAGTACAGTGATTAGCTGTGGGTGTCTGCTTCTACTTCCACCAGTTACTAGATGAAGGGTATACGATGGCATATAAATCAATCATCAATCTCATTATCAGGGGAGGACATTTAAGGTAGCCCCTCCTCTGTTGCTTAGATTGTTAGTTGGTGTCATCTTTGTAGTTCTCCAGACATTTTCCCAGTGCCTGTTATCTCTTTAAACCTAAAATGTCTCCCTCTCTTATGGTATCTCTTATCTTGTTTTCTTCTATTCTTCCCCATATTTCAGCACACAACAGTGTCTCATCAACCAATCCCTGATTCACACAAACCAACCCATTCCTCTCCTCTGTGTTGCTTCATTGGAACCTCACTTATACACTTCAGGGCTATTAGCCCACCTGATATTCCCATACCTCCAACGAGATCTACCAATCATTACCACATTTTATAGATAAGAAATCAGCACAGAGAAACCACACAGGTATGAAAGTCATTAAAGTCTCCAGAGCCCTTATAGACACCCAGCACTTATGATATTCATCAATATTTACTCACATGGAAATCATGTCAATAGCTGAAGCATACGTCGGTGGCTTCGTTGGCTTTGTCTGTCATATGAAATTGAATGTGATTAAAAAAACATGATGGGGAAAACCACAGAGACAGCTGAACCCAAGATATGAGCTTTGAATTCATGGAATGACTGCTGGGGAACCTGCATGGGACTGAACTAGACCCTCTGAATGTGGGTGAAAGTTCCATGACTTGACCTGTTGGGGGGCTAGCAGTGGCACAAAGACCTATCCAAGCATCATGAACTAGCTTTTTGGAGCTCCCTACCTATAGTGGGATACCTTATTTAGCCTTGATACAGGGGAGAAGGGCTTGGTTCTGCCTCAACTTGGTATGCCAGTCAACCTTTGTTGACTCCCCAAAGAAGGCCTTGTCCCCTTTGAGGAGTGGATAGTGTGTGGGAAGGGGAGAGGCAGGGGTAGGGAAAGGAGAGGGAGGTGGAGCTGGGGTTGCTATGTAAAATGAAAAATAAATTTAAAAAACCTCCATAGAAAGCACAAAGTACTTGCCTATTTCTCTCTTCTCTGAAGTTCAAGTGTTAGTGACTGCCAAGTGTAAGAAAAGTGACTCTAGAAATTCTCATGTTTCCATGGCCACCAGAGGTGAATGGCAGATTATGAGCAATGTGCCCATGTCATGAGTCATGACATGTAGTCTTAAAGGGCCACAGAGATTAATGTCCCTTTCATATTCCAAGGTTTAAAGGAATAATTCAGTCTTTTACTGTTTTAATGTAAAAAGTTTCCTCATACAGTATAATTTGATCAGAATATACAGTATAATTTGATCATGATTTTCCCCTTTGCCATCTTTTTCAAGATGAATCTCCAGCTTCATACTTACCCAACTGCATAGGCATTTGCTCATGATCCCAACCCTGTGGAAAACCTTACAACTAACAAAAGTCTAATAAGACAGAAAGTACAAAAACAGAACAGAAACATAGTCTTGAGTGATACAAAGAAAATGGAGTCTCTTTTATGTTTGTTACTCTTGGTCATGTACCAAGAGTGAAGGGGAAATGACCAATACTGAACTACTCTTGGTCATGAGACTTGTTCTGGAATGTAGTAGATACCCCAGTGACACTCCAAAGAGAAAATGAGAAAAAAAACGAGTTTTTTCCTAGCAGATATCAATTGTAAATAGTGTTTTGGCTGGTGATAGGTCTTTGTGTCCACTACCCTGGTATAGTGCCTGCATATCGCCTGGCTTGAACCTGTGAAGGTTTTGTGTATGTGCTGTCACAGTCTCTTTGAGTTCTCTTGAGTATCAGGCATGTTGTGTATGACTCTGTTTTCTTCGAGTCATCCACCATTTCTGGCTCCTACAATCTTTCCCTTTTCTCTTCTATGTAGCTTCTCATGTATGAAGAGGAGGGGCTTGATTAAGAGATCTTATTTAGGACTGAGTCTCTCACACTCTGCACATTTTTCCTTTGGTGTGTCCTTTCACTTATTATCATCTACTGAAAGATCAAGTTTCTATGATGTGGGTTGAGTGAGCCATGATCCATGAGTATAGGAATATTTCTTTAGTAGAAATTATTACAATGTTCCTTTATCTGAAAAATGGTAATAGGTATCCCCTAGGCCGCATGCATTATCTGATATCAGGTACTTTCCATATCAGCAGTGTTGAATATCACTTGGAGTAGAACTTGAATGCTGTAAGGGGCCGTTTCCTGCATTATAATGGTGCCTGAAGACACCAAGATGTAAATTACTTCACAGGCGCTGGGTAATCTCCATTCCTTTGATCTCTGCCTATCCCGTGGCTCATTTTGGCCTGAGGAGCTAAAGCCATTCATAGGGTAACACGTCCCAGGCGGCTGGTCAGCCTTTATAAGGGATGGTTTTCTTGGTTTAGGGGTCTCTGCTCTGGGAAGCTTATGCTCTCCTCTCAAGATGCATTAAAGCTTGTCTGCAGAAGGATCCGAGTGTCCCGTGTATGATTTCTTGCTGGCGAGAAATACAGAGGGCGCGGGACATATATATAAATATATAATTTGAATTTTTGGAAACTTTAGCTGTGCTGTCAACTTTGGGAAAAAGTTTCCCAGTTTACCGTGTTGAGTTGGCATAGTACAGAAATTAACAGCCATATTGGTCTAGAAATGTTGAACTTAATTTTTTCCCATTTGTACAGGGGTAAC